GAGACGATATACGATAGAATGAATGTAAAACTAATGTTCTCCCATGTAAACTATCACATAATTCACAATAAAACATTAAAAAAAAAAAAGAAATGAGTTAGTACGTAGAAAGTATTTTAGAATAGAGCCAGACACTTAGGAAGCACTATGTGTTAGATCATTAAAATCAACTTTAAAAAGGACTTTATTTCCACTCTGTAGTTCTTGATCTTTTTCCCTAGCTCTTCTCCCTTCCAGCTGATCTACGGAAAATCACGTCTGTTTGATGGCTTCTACTTTAACTTCCATCCATTTTCCCAACTACTGAAATTGTCTAAGATTTCTAATGACCTAGCAGCCACTTTTCTGTCTCTAGATTTCTAATGACCTAGCTATCACTTTTCTGTCCTTAGTGTATGAGGTAACTGTACTGTGTGCTATCACTGGCCATATCTTCCTTGGACTTTTGAGACACTCTTCTCTCCCTGGTTTTTATCTGCCCTGTAGCTGTCTCTTCTCAGTCTTTTCTGAAAGCTCCTCTCTTCTCCCTCCGTTTGCTCGTTAATGTTATTCCTGACCTTGTCTTACTCTCACTGGGTGATTTCATACACAGGTAAATCCAATTTTGCCAGTTCTCCTGACAGTTTCCAAAAGGTATCATGTTCTTTCTCACATCCATAACTTTGAGCTTCCTTCTACTCCCATCACCCATTCTTCCTGGCACCTTCTCTCATCAGATCTCTCTGTCTAGTAAGTTTGGTTGGTTCTCCAAATTTTAACCCAATCATCATATTTTTTTGTCCTCCTAAGCCAAGTTGAGTATTCCTTCTCTGCACTCCCTTACTGTCTTGCGGAACTCCTCTATTATCATATACTAGAATGTTTAATTACTTATTTATTTGGTTCTCCATTAGAATAAGCATGACTTATAGGTATCTATCAGGAAAGAGAGAAGGCTTTCTGCTCCCTCAAAGATTTATAACCTCAGAAACTCTATAGAGGGTTGCTGTCAGAACCAATTAATAGCACTTAACAACAAAAACAATAACAATGACATAAGTATATATATCCTCAAAGCATCATGTCTGGGTAAAATGTACAGGGATTCAATATGTGAATACATATAATTGACAAACAATAAATAGTGATTTTATTATGTTGTATCTTAATTCAGAAGTGAACATCAGGATGGTATCTCATAAAAAAGGTTAGCTCTTCCTGAAAATTTTATCAGGAGCACGTGTAAGAGGCAAATGTCCATGGTTATACATGAGTCCTGGAGGCACCGTGGTTACTTGGCTTCTAACTGAAAGGTCAGCAGTTTGACTCCACAAGCCACTCCACAATAGAAAGATGTGGCATGGACTTCTGTAAATACAATACCCTGGAAACCCTTATGGGGCAGTTTTTCTGGAGCTCTGGTAGCGTAGTGGTTACGACTCGGGCTGTGAACTGTAAGGTCAGCAGTTTGAAACTACCAGCAGTTCCGCAGGAGAAAGATTAGGCGTTCTGCTCCCGTAAAGATTAACAGCCTCGGAAACCCTATGCAAGGTCGCTATGAGTCAAAACCGACTCCACGGCACATAACAACAACAACAACGTCACTATGAGTTGCTGTTAGGTGCTGTCAGGTTGGTTCTGACTCAGGACGACCTTATGTACAACAGAACGAAACACTGCCTGATTCTAATGGCAACTGGTATGCTGTATAATGCTATAATTCACTAAAGCCAACTCGGAAAGACAAAGGAGCCCTTATTACTTTACTACTATCATATGTATTTGGGTTCACTGAAGCATTACTTAACTACAGTCAACTAAATTTGAGGCTCATTAAAATTTTAGAAGTACCATATTTTTCTTATGAAGAAAGTTCAGTTAAAATAATGTTCTGACTCCCTGCCATAATTACAAACACCATTCACCAGTAGAGAATATCAACTCATGTTTACAAGGCAAAATATCATATAACTATCCCTGGTAGGCGCTGTGGGGTAATGCACTGAACTGCAAAAGTCAGTTTGAACTGCAAGGTCGGCAGTTCAAGCTTACCTGCCACTCCTTGGAAACCCTATACAGGGTCACTATGGGTGAGAACTGACTTGGCGGCACTTAACAAACATCCCTTTTAAGAAGTTTTACTGACTAGGTTTCTTGCTTTGCCATGGGTCTTTGCACCTACCTGCAAAGTGCAACCAAATACACCGATCATCAGCATGGCCACGGAGAGGTAATCGGTAAACACATCCCACCATGGCTTCAGCACCCGGAAGGCAGGCTGCTGCTCAGAGAACTGCCGGAATTCTGTCACTGGAATCATGTTTCTGGCAAAGAAGAGATTATTCGTGAATAGATTTATAACTAACTACAGCTTCATACACACATATTGCATTATAACCAGTATTTGAGATACTGCTTCAGGTCATCAGAAGCAGAAGTAAATCAGAGAGAAAATGATGTTAGCGGGCACATGAAACAGAAAGACATAATTTGTGATAACAACAGCAAAGAGGAGGAGAAATGGTATCATTTGCTGCCTGGTGCCTAGAGTCTTAAGGATTTGTGGGCTGTCATCCAAGACACAATGGTTGGTCTCTGTTCACCTGGAGTGAGGAAGGGTCAGGAATAGAAGGAGGATGTGTGGCTGGTTCCCTCCATAAAATACTACCTTCTTTGCATGGGGATAGAGGAGTTGGACTGTGCCTGCCAGCTGCCATTGCTGAACATTTTGATTTAAAAAAAAACAACTGTATAAAAGAATACTGACCAAAAAGGGGGAAATGCAGAATAGAATTTCAGATGCTTATGGACTCCAAACTTCCTGGAGTCATGGGGGCTAGAGGAATCTACTAATATTATTGCCCTGAAATCATCTTTAAACCTTAATCTAAGACTATCCCTTGAAGTCTTCTTGAAACCAAACAATAATTTCACTTAACTAATAAAAATGTTTTCTCGATCATTAACTAGTAAAGAGGCTTTCTTGACTCTTTAAGAAACTATATGGAATCAAAGAGAGAACAGCAAACTTGAAAGATTAAGCAGGAACCTTAGGGGGCAGTGAGTTTATGTTAATGAGGGAGGAACAACTCAGGAAAGGAGAGTCAGATGGTAGCACAACTCAATATAATCAATGCCACTGAATCATACATGTAGAAAGGGCTGAATTGGTGTATGTTTTCTTGTATATATTCTCAAAAACAACAACAAAAAAGCAGCAGAGGTCTGTCTGAATTAGTCAAGGCACTACCATGGTCTACCAGTGTTTTAGGGACGAATACCTGCCAATTCAGGAAATAAGGAGACTCAACTGGAAAAGGCAAGGACCCTTACTGCACTAGTACTCACACGGGCCAGAGAGACCATGGCTGGAGCAGTCACCAAGTCCTAGTTACTTTCGGAACTTCCCATTGCCCTCCTGGTGTAGCGCTGCAGGCTAACCACTAGACAACAAGGGTAGTTTAAACGCTTCAGCAGCTCCTGGGAAACCCTACACAGGATCGCTATGAGTCGGAATCGACTCAACAGCATTTAGCAACAACACAACAAACAGGACACAAAGATGCCACACATTTATTTATGTTTTGGCAAGATAAAACCAAAACATTTTAAAGCAAATCTTATACTTGGAAATGTTTTTGGTATTTATCATACTGCCCTGGGTTGTTGTTTTAAACTACTTTTAAAAGAAAAAAGTATAATTTCAGCATTCATTTTGGTTATTGATTGAGCCCTATTTCCAAAAGCTTGTTCCATAAAGAAAGCAAATTATTTCTCACATGGTCATGTCCTTTGGAGGGGAAATCTCATTGGTGGTGGTGGTGAGTTGAGGAGGACTCCATTTTTTCTTGCTTTTTTTTGGTCCCTGTGTTTTATAGTGACTTCTTTTCTCTATTTTTATTATTTACTTTTCATAATTCACTCTGAATCTCAATTTTAGCTTGAATTTCTCTTTTGAGAAATCAGTTTGCCCTGGAAACTCCTCCCTGTTACCCCACCCCCATTTTTCTTCAGTTTCTGAGTTGATTCTGGCTCATAGCAACCCTGTGTGTGTCAGAGTAGAACTGTGTTCCACAGGGCTTTTCAAGACTGATATTTGAGAAGTAGATCACTAGACTTTTTTCCCGAGGTACATTTGGATGGACTTGAGCCTTCAACTGTTTGGTTAACAGCTAAGTGCATTAACTTTTTGTGTCACTCAGGGACTCGATAGAAACACCTATCCAAGACTCCATAGAAACTCCTATGTAAATGACAGAAGATAGGGTATACCAGAGGGTCTGGGGAAAGACACAGCCTTTTCGTGGTCTGCATCTCATTCTCACTCCACATTCCCATTGCCTACACTGCAACCCACACTTGAAGTTAATCACCCTGTTACTGTGAGGAATATTCCTTTTGTCTTATGATGATGAATAAGAGCCCAAAGAAAACATCTCTCCTTTTGTCTTCTTTGGATCCAATAATCCAGCTCTCTATAGCTCACCTTACTATTTAGTCTTAGTCTTAATTAAAGTGGCATTTGAATTATGGTGTTGTAGAAAAGTACTCTAAGTACAGTACCATGTTGTTGTTGCTGTTAAGTGCCACCAAGTTGGTTCTGACTCACAGTAACCCTGTATAGGGTTTCTGAGGAACAACTGGTGGGTTTGAAGCACTGACCTTACAGTTCAAACTAACCTTGTAACCCAGTGCTTATCCTATAGTGCCACACCAGGACTCCAAAAGTACCATAGGCTACCAGAAAAACAAACAAATCTTGGAATAAATAATCAGAAAGTTCCTTAGAAGTGAGGATGGTGAAACTTATCTCAAGTACTTTGGACACTAGAGACCAATTATCACGAAGGACTACTTCCTGGAAAAGGACATTAAATTTGATGAAGTGGAGGGTCAGTGAAAAAGAGGAAGATCCCAACAAATGGAGTGATACAATGGCTGCAACAATGAGCTTAAATATATCAACAATTGTGAGGATAATGTAGGATCTGGCAATGTTTTTTTCTGTTGTTCATGAGACCGCTATGAGTAAGAGCTGGCTCAATGGTACCTAACAACAACAACGACAACAAAGAGACAGGGCAGATGGCTAAATTTTTTCTTCTCCTCCCAAGTCTTGTTTGTTTCATGGATCACCCTTTCCATAGTGCTGAGCCTAATACATAGAACTGATCTCAAGACTCAGGTCTAAGAACTATACTACAAACCCTCCAGGCAAAAACAAAGTCTCTGAATATAATTTTGAACACTGTTATGTTTTCAATTCTGTCTTATTGCTTTATTTGTATTATGCTTAGACAAGAATTTGTCTTTCTTTTGGATTTGTTCTTTAGCACAGTGATGACAATTTCAGTAGACTAAGAGTCTCATCTATGAGTATAACCTAATGTTCCTTAATTGACTTGACATTTGTCTAGCATTTGATACAAGTTCCTCATTTTACTAAAACATCATTCCTAACTCCATTCTGTTACTACTATTAGTCTGCAAGCTTCTTGAGGATAGAACCTATATATTATGCATACATGTATCCTAAATGCTTTGGACCATGTCTCACATATGACAAGCAGACCACAGAAGCTAAACAAATTACCTGGTATATTCCCAAATACTACCATTTGAGACTAGTTCACATTACTTACAACAGACAAGAGATGGAAACAACCTAAATAGTCATAACAGATCAATGGATAAACAAAATATAGTATATACATACAATGGAATGTTACTCAGCTATGAATGGAGTCCTGATACAAACCACAACACAGATGAATCTTGAATGTTGTAAGTTAATCACAAAAGGACAAATATTGTATGAAATTAGGTGAACTATTTAAAATAGGCAAAATTTATAGACCAGATCTATTACTTGTTCTGTATGTGGAAGGGAGGGAGAGAAGGGAACAGAGGAAGCTGTTGTTTAAGAAGCACTGAGTATCTGTTTATGATAATTAAAAAACTTGCCAAGATACTGGTGATTTTTATACAACATGATTAATGTAATTGTAATCACTGAATTGTTCATGTAAAAAAATGCTAATTTGGCAAATGCCATAAATACACTTTGATTTTGTCGTGACCCCAAGTACATGTTAAAACAATAAAAAAATTTTAGACTACTTTAAAGTTAGACTTTTCTGACAACTTATAACTTGTGTTCTTTCCTGTGAATCATTACAATCTCACTGCTCAAATGTTTTCCGGTCATAATTGTTTCAGTGACAATCACAGACAGGCACTTTCTCACTGTAACTCCCAAGTTCCGCTTCAGAAGCAATGTCTTATTCTGTTTTGCATTTGCATCGCTTACTATGGTGCCTGGCCAAATAAGAGGCCCTTAACAACTGTCTGTTGAATAAATGGATGAGGGAATTCTGATACACATTCCTGGAGCAATACCCATCCAAGTCAGCTTTAGTGTGACCCCAATCAGCTGCAGTGACAATAATTAATTAGCTTACTGCCTGTGGTGTGGTTTACACATTATTCTTTGACAGATTTAGTTGTCTCTTGTACACATAGAAGAAAATTAGGCTTGTTCCTGTAAGTAAATGACAATTTCAGGAATGAAATGTATCACTGTAGAATAATTGTTCTCAAACTTTTTGGTCTCATAACCCTACACACACTGAAATTTAATAAGGACAACCCCAAAGAGGTTTTCATTATGTGGATTATATCTATCATATTATATATTATATATAGACTTTATCTATATATAATATATATATCTATATATATCTATATATAATATATAAGCAGCTCTGGCAGCATAGTGGTTATGAATCTGGCTGCTAATCTCAAGGTTGGCAGTTCGAAACTACCAGCTGTTCCACGTGAGAAAGATGAGGCTTTCTGCTCCCGTAAAGATTTACAGCCTCGGAAACCTTGTGCACGGTCACTATGAGTCGAAACCAACTCCATGGTACTTAACAACAACATATATAATCTATATTATATATAGACTTAATCTATATATAATATATACATTATAAGGAGCTCTGGTAGCATAGTGGTTACGAATCGGGCTGCAAAACGCAAGGTCAGCAATTTAAAACTACCAGCTGTTCCTGTAAAGATTTACAGACTCGTAAACCCTGTACAGGGTCGCTATGAGTCGGGACCGACTCCATGGCACATAACAACAACAACAACATATATATTATAAGGAGCTCTGGTAGCGTAGTGGTTACAATTGGGCTGCGAGCTGCAAGGTCAGCAGTTCGTAACTACCAGCTGTTCCGCAGGAGAAAGATGAGGATTTCTGTTCCCGTAAAGATTTACAGCCTCAGAAACCCTATGCAGGGTTGCTCTGAGTCGGGAC